CCAAGAAAAAGTACGACGGGGCCGTCAAGGACATTGAACCGGAGTTCCTCAAGCTGCTAGATCTCTACTGTCGACGCATCTTTAGCGACAAATTGACACCCAAAATTATCCACGGACAAGAGCTGGGACCACAGGAATTTTTCAACTACACCAAGGCATACGCCGCAATGTTTGCCGATGGGGCCAAGTTCCCAGAGGCTGGGACAATGTTGGATGCCACGGCATCGGCGAACAATACCAATGCCAGAGATGAGGCTCTCAAAATCTACAAGGAGGTCATGGATCGCATTGCCGGTCCAAGCTGTAGCAGCTTTGTCAATGTGCAACAGTTGGAGGATGACCACAAACATAACGTCACGCAGGCGCTCGAGATCTTTGATGCAAGAGCTAATTTTGGGAGTTCGAAAAACATTCAGAAATCGCGACGAGACGTTCAAATTGCTATCGACGAGCAGTTTGTGTCCTACCGAAAACTCAACGAACAACGCAATCCTTTGTTTGGAATGGAAATGTGCGTGTTGTTTTTGTTTGGAGGAATACCATTATTTTGTCCAGTATGTCTATCCGTCTCTCACTGCTTTTTGTTGCTGTTTGTCGTTTGCAGTTACATCATTCCTCTTGCCACTGCTGGAATTTCCTACCTGGTCAAGTTCTTTGTCGACTTGACGTGCTCGCACAACGTCTGTATTTCGACGTCTCAGCTACTGAAGGAGTTCATGTCGTTTGCTCTCTGCTTTCTCGGAATTTTGGTCATTACGAAATTCGAGGTATGTGCTAACGTTTTCTGTTGCGCTTATCTTAGACAACTCATTCGATTCTCACCCTTTCCGTCCTTTTGCAACCATCCCTCCAGCAAATCAGGGAATTCTACGACAGAATTCAAGGGATGTACAAGGCTATGAATCAACCGCCTCCAAAACCCAAGCAGGATTAGGCAACTCTTCTGTTTTGGTTTTTGCGATGCTCGCATTGAGACGTGAAACAACAATACACGCACAAAATTGACGCTACTCAGCCGTTGAAAGCACCCACCTCCACACTACTCCGTAAATCTAAAACAGGAACGCCGTTGACGGCACCGTGTTGGCTCCTTTCGCAATGGCACAACAAAGAAATACGTACTTTCAATAATTACATCTACTTAATCTAATTCTGGACCAGGACATTTCATTCATAGTTAGCATCCAACATTAGTATATTACCTGTACAATTTCATGAGCACTCTCTCTCTTTTTTTTTTTCACCTTGGTTCCTGGATGGCAGAGTCCAAAGCAGGATACTTTCTGAAAGCAATCGTTGATTTGCTCCCGCGTCTCCTTCAAATCGTTGGCTTCTCTCATTTGCATGACCTCATCGTTGAGATATGCCTGCATCGACTCTGCCATTTTGACAGCGGACTCTTCCTCATCATCAAAGTGCTGCCAATCACGGACCAAAAATTCAACGAGTTGAAATGGCTTTTTGTCTCGGTCCGTCTCGTTGGAAGCCATGGCCATTTTGGCATATTCCGTGAAGAGCGCCAAGTGCTGCAGGTTGTCTTCCTGGATTCGCTTGTCGACATTGTAGATCATATAGCTACTCATGAGACATCCCAATCCAAAAATGCAGGTGGTGAGAGTCATGGTGGTCTCGTGATCAAACATGCCTTGGGTGTCCACCAACAAGACTGCCAATTTTCCACCATTCAGAAAGAACGGCTGATTCCACATCCAAATTCCAGTGGTATTTCGTTCACTTCCAGCCTTCCATTCAAAGCCCTTATTTCCAACAGACTCCAATTGGTTGTACCATTGGCTGTCTTCCTCCACAAGACTGGGATTCTCTTCCAACAGATTCAAAAATCGGAGAAAGAAAGTCAAGACAAAACTCTTGCCGGTTCGAAAGGCACCCACCACACTCACGACAGAGACCTTGCAGTCCTCGGGTACTTTGGCCAAGACGGACTGGAGTTTCGCTTCGTGGAACGTAAAGGAATACGCATCCTCTTCACTGCCAATCGAGAAAATCTGCAGGGCTTCCGGTGGACTATCCGTCACGACGTCCGAAGGATCCACAATGACGAGAGAGTCATCCGTCTCGCCACCACTGTCTTCTGTCTTGCTCGTTTCCATCTTGGGAGATGGAGTACTAGTGGTGTCCTCATTCACGAGATCTGGTGGATTACTACTAGTATCCTCTGCGCCGCTCATGGTTGTTGATGATGGTGAGAAATCAATAAAATAATCAGTGATCAAAAGACCTTCGAGCCGGTTCGTGTGGATTTGTGAGTGATGAGCTTCACGGAAGTTTCGCACAGTTGATTGGGCCGTTGATGCTGTCATTCAAAAGTGGGTCGATTGAGTCGAATCAAATGATTCGATTCGATTCGATTCAATCATCAATCGTGTGCGTCCATGGCAACGGATCGACTTTCAATCCGCTCGGAAGGGTATGGCCAAAGAGCGGTTACAGGGGAACTATAGTAGGATATTTGCACACAAGATTCGCCAAAGTGTACAGTAACCATCACAGTGCTGGATTTGAATTTTGTCACTTAAGCAATCCGAGTCTTGTGGAAGCATCAAAGAGTTATTCGTAGAGGTGCGCCGTACCGTTGGAGCCCTCATTTCCTCTTACTCACAATTTCGAAGAAGATACGTACCTCTCCTCTCCGTACGAAAGATCGCGAACGTCGTCAAGTCATTGGATTTCTTCTTCTTCCTACACAGTCAACTACAGCAAAGCTGGAACATCATCATGCTACATACTGCTAGTGTTGCTTTTAAAGAATGGCTAGATGTTAACAGTCGCTACCCATTCAATGAGATTCGGAAGACCAGGCAGAGCTATGAACTCAAATATGTTTTGTTGGTAGATGAAACTGACAGGGCAAACAGGTACAGCCAGTACTTTGTTCTAAAGGTAAAGTACCTTCCCAGTGTCATGGTTGAGAAACTCATAATGGAAGAAAAAGCTGTGCCCATGACACCTGATATGACCTGGATTCTGGAGACCATGACTGGATGGGGAGTGAGGCAGAGCACTGAGTGGTACAGTGATGTCCTTGCTCTGCTTGCTTTGGTAGTGGAGGAAGGGGATCCTATGACAAAGAAAGAGTTGTGTGCAATGATAGTTAGACCACTTATGAGGAATGCTCTCTATAATCAGTTTGGTGTGTGGGAGTGGCAAGCCAAAGAGTTCTTACTTACAGAATGGAAGCATTGGTTTTACACTGAGTGTTGGAGCAAGCACAAACACAACTTCAGTGGGATGGTGATCAGTAGCCAGCAGTACATTATCCACAGGGCTTCTCTCACTGCCCACAATGGAGTGTATGCTTACTCAATGCCCTGAATATGTCTCATGTCTGAAAAGAAAAGAAGGAAGCAGCAACTGTAAGATTGTTGTTGTTTGTTATCCAAGTAGTCAACAGTAACACCAGTAACATACCTTTATGTCAAACCAATTGTCCCTTTCAGTGCTGTTCTTGTGGGTTGGTTTACTGCAAGTAGGACCAAAGCCATCACCAGGACCATGGTAGTCCTTGAGCTGCCAGCAGTTGCCACAATAGTTCCTTGTGCAGGTATTGGCAACACCCTCATCTTCATGGTGGTCTCTTCTCTTGTGCCCACAAGTGATGCAGAATCTTCTGCTCCTGAATACTCTCTTTGGTGGTCTTAGAGGAGGAACAGTTGGTGCCGCCACTGGCTCAGCAATACCATAGGGCGCCACATTTCTAAGCTGCTGGAAGACTCTCTCTTGAACACCTTGTAACCTGCCAACCAAAATGGAAGTGTTTTGTGTGTTGGGATTTCCAATTGGAGTGTGTCCATTCTGGTGTTGAGTGTAGACTGGAGGGACTGTGTTGTGGGGATTCGGTGGTGTCTGAATACTCTGTCGAGTTGCTCTGAGTGCGGCGTTCAGAGTAACTCGATGCCGATCATTAGCTGTCGATGCTGCTGCTTGTAGGTTTCTTGCTTCTCGAGTTTTGCGAAGATGATCCTCCAACTGTTGTCGACTCTTTCTGTTGATCTGAATGATGGTGTCATCGCCCCTGCTCCATTCTCTAAATCTCCTGGCCACTTCATTATTCCAGTTTCTTTCGAATGCCTTGTAATTTGGCTTGCCACGACCTTGCTGGTTGTACTTGACATGTTCGACGTTAAACAACCTCTCCTCTTCAAGATCCAGTGGCGATGGTGCTGTCGCTGAATCAGGTGAGCGAAAAGGTATCCAGGGTTGCTTGTTCGACAGGTTGGTAAAAGCTTGGAGAGTACTCAGGCGGCCACTGGTATCAGGCAGTAGCTTCGCCAATTCCTCTTGGATGAGTTTGCGATTTAAGGAATCATTTTGTTGGATCTCCTCGGATTGTTGTAGATCCAGCAGCTGTTGTTCCACATCTTCTTCTGTCGCCTCATTCGGTTGCTGGGACCCACCTTCAATTGTAACTGGAACATCGTCTTCTTCGGCATCACCTCCATCTGTGTCTAAATCCGGTTGCTCTGTGACCTTGTAGCCAAATCCCATGAATTCGCTGGATGCAGACTTGTCAACTGTTGGAGCTGAAATTCTCTGGAAAGGAATCTCCGAATCCTTATATCCTACCTTCTTGGCGATTGAATTAATGAGCAAGAGTCGTTCAGTCTCGACAATGCCATAGTCCTCCTCACCTAGCCGAGGGACTGACTTCATCTGGTTTCTTTCTTCAAAGAAACCTGTCATTAACCGGTCAGCTCGGTGGATACCTGTTTAACAGTAGGCCAATTGTGAGAAGTCGAAACAGCATGGAACAGAAAGGTAGTGTCCCTTACCAACATGAGTTGCCACCAAGATTCGGTATGCTAAGTCCAAGTTGTCCCTCTCATTTGTATTCGTTCCTCTTGCCAGATAGGTTTTACCAGTCACTGGATTGTGGCGAAAGACATTAACAATCGAAGGATCTGGATCCGAAAGACACCCCTTGTCAATGTAGGTAAAGAGCTGCTTGATTTTATCACGTGTTGCGCTGTCATTCTTGAGATAAAGCCTTGGCGATGCAGTGTCATTGTCAACACCGGCAGTGGACAGTATCATTTCTGTTTCAGCATCCTTGGCACGTAGATACTCCAGCACAGCTTCGACATTCCTCCTGAGTTCCTGTGGTTGCGGTATCACTGCATTGGCCTCTCTCATGATCTCTTTGTGTGTTGGCTCTCTCTTCCTCTTGGCTTCCACGAAGGCCTTGGCTCTCTCATACTCCGTTGGCTCAACACAGAACAATGCCCTACTCAATAGACCACGAAAAACACCGCCCATTGCTGAGTTTGGATCTCTTAAGCATTGATTCCATCGCTTCATCCAGTGAAATGCGTCCAGAAGAATAATGACTTCTGAGCCAAAGATTCGCTTAAGTGTGGAATACACTTGGCAGCAATTGTCCACATACACAACCTTCACGGCATCAGTCAGTTCTGGCTCTTGTGCAGTGGGCGGCTCCTCCCCTTCAGGAACCAAGTCTCGGGCTGCCTCCTGTCTTCTGGTCAATTCCTGTGCCCTCTTGTTGCGCTTCAATCTCTCATTAAGTCTGATGAGGTCCTGTTCAATTTCGCTGAAGGATTCGCTGTGCTTCAGAGCCTTCCAGAACACAGTGAGAGCATCTTCATTTTGGATGGTGATTATGCAACGGTATGGGCAGAAGCTTTTTCCTGGACCGGTTCATACCCTGATCTTGGAAGCCAACTTATAATTGAAATCAATCTTCAACATCTCAGCGGTGAGCCCCTTCATTTTGCTCTCTTGGTACTCTTTGCGATGGTCAAACACAACTGTCACCAGGCAATCAATCATGTGCTTGGATATGACTCGGCCATTGTAACCCTTCTTGTCGTTGAACTTGGAGAAAAGGGGTGGACGATGCTCCTCTTGCTCTTCGCCATCATTTGAATCCACCGCTTGACCAGGCAGGCCATTTTCTTCCACATACTCGGAGATTGCATCAATGGCCGCTTGCTCTTCCAGCTCAGCCAAGATGAGTTCAGATTCCAGCTGTTCCACTCGCACATCGTGGTTCGAGTAATAATTCCGCACCTTCTGTTGCCAGTGCTTTATCTTCTTGCTTAGACGCCTTGGATGGTCGTCAGGGTCCACAGCAAGCAACTCCTGCATGGAATTTACACCCAAATCAATCAACTGCCGCAACTTGGTGCTCCCCATTCCAGGAAGAACATTCTGAGTTCCAAACTTGTTCCTGTCATCCTTGTCACCCAGCATATCTTTGAATCGAACGTCTCCATTGGCTTTGCCCCGTTCAGATGAGAGATTCAGCCGGATTCGAGTTGCATTGGTCTGTTTCACATGCTTGGCTGACTGTAACTTTTTGAGTGCGTCCGGAGTATTTGTTAACACGTAATAGTCATCCATTGTCCTCGCTTTCTTCTGTGGCCGGGTATCGATCTTGTCACACCCTACTGCTGTAAGATACAGCTCAAATTCATTGTAGTACGTAGTGTAGGCTAGACGCTTCAGTCTTTTGGCAATGGAGGCAGTGCACTCTGTCGCGGCTTCCAAGACAATCTGACTGTACAACTCCTCATCCACCGCGTACCCATGCCCCAGGTAGAAATTGAAATAGGAACCATACACGCTAGAGTCCAACTTCATGCTGTCCTTGTTGTACCCTGCAAAACGTCTACCACACAGATTACATGGGTACAGCATGGTGTCCAAGTACTTGTGACGAAAAACGCCGAAGAGAACTTTTGGATTGTTGATCCAGCGAGCTTTCAAAACGTCCACGTAAGAGTTCTTCTTGCAGTGGGGACAAGTGGGCACATGCTTGTCAAACTGTAGATGTGGAACCCACACTGCTGAAGACTTGACATAAAAGGAAGAGGCCTTCACTTTTTTGCACGCACCATGGAGAAGGTTTGTGTTGTGTCTTCCTCCGGAGGGGGTGATATTCTTCCAGTCTTTCGCCTTGAAGAAAGCACGATGGTCGTTGTCAATGGAAGACCGATAGCTCTTTATAAAGGATCTCTGTGATGGGTTGAACTGGGAGAGCGGAGCGTCGTTTGTTGTTACTCCTGTCATTGTCGATGTTGGAGGAAAAGTAACGATTCCACGCTTATCCGGTCGTTTTTGCACCGGATGTTGAGGGTTAAAGATTGGAGGGGGGCCTCAAGACTCAAGAATATTTGGTTCCCACCTGGTAGACAGAGCCAAAGAGTAGAGA